TGCTGTGCCAGCCCCACACCCTGGGCACCTGTGGGGCCGCTTCTCCCCCGGCACCGCTGCTGTCGCTCCCTCCCGCCCTGCTTTTCCTCTCTGCTGTGTTTTACCGGGGAGAGGAGGAGGATGGAGCCGGGGAGGGTGGAGGAAGGCGCTGGAGGGACGGGCTGGGAGTTCCGTGGCTGAACTTTGAGTTCCTTTGTACTGTACATCTTTTTACTTTGGAATTTGCAATAAAGAGGTATGTCCATCTTGTTTTAACAACTTCTCCTGCCTGCCCTGTCCTTCTGTTCCCCTCGCTGCCCAAAATTCCTCACTCCTGGCGTGGCTTTGCAAAGTGGGGCTGCTCTGAAATGTTCTCCCTGCCCCGAGGGGGAACCCGGGGATAATTTGAGGGGGTGACAGGAATTATTTGGGGGAGTCACGGCTTTGAAACCCCTCCAGACACAACACAGGGCTCATCCCAGCCCCACCCCAGCGTGTTCTGGCTCCTGCTTTGGGCAGTGCATCTTCAGGAGCCGCATCTGCCACCACCACCCCTGCATTGCCCCGTTCCTGCAGCTCCTTTGCCTTTGTTTTCCAGGGAAATTTGGAACCTGGGGCAGCCCCGTGGTGATGGGGAGCGCTCCATCCAACACCCCCTGCTTCACACAGGAGCTGCTGATCACCCAAAGCTTTCCCAATTTCGATTTTAAATTTGGAAGAAAAACCTTGTTCCACTTGCCCCATTGGCTCTGAGCACATCCACAGAATCCTGGCTCAATTGACCTTTTAGAGTATTTTAGAGTGTTTAACACAGAATGTGCACAGAAATCATCATCATCCTCCTCTCCCTCCACCCCTGGCACCGAGCAGCTCCTCGGGCTCCTTGCTGTGCCGTGACACGGCCAAAAAGAGAAAAACCCAAACCCACAGAAAGGGACAAACCCAAACCCACAGAAAGGGACAAAAGGGACAAACCCAAACCCACAGAACGGGACAAACCCAAACCCACAGAAAGGGACAAACCCAAACCCACAGAAAGGGACAAACCCAAACCCACAGAAAGGGACAAAAGGGACAAACCCAAACCCACAGAAAGGGACAAACCCAGAGTCCCCAAACCTCTGGTTCAGGACAGCTGTCATCCCAAATGTCCCCAAGCAGCACAAAACCTCTGCCACAGCCCTTGGGTGTCACAATTAACCACAATTAACCCACAAACAATTAACCCCAGGCACTGGCTCGGCCTGATGACCCAGCAGAGAATCCCAGTGCTCCTTTTCCACCTGGAATTGGGGAATTTTGGCTCCTGGGGGCTCCTGTGAGGGGGTCCCAGTGAGGGCACGGCCGAGGGAGCTCTGCCCAGCTCCAGCCCTGCCCCAGGGACAGGCAGGGACATCTCCAGCTGGGGCTGCTGATGGTTCCTGGTGCTCACCTCACCCTGGATGAGCCCAGGACAGGCCCAGGAGAACACACAGAGCCCATTTCTGGATGCCAACCCCTCCATGAGGCTTTACTGGGTCTGGTTTTCCCTCCAGCAGCTCCTGGCAGTGCCACACCAGCACAGGCAGCTCTGGCACCCGGGGACATCTCCAGCTGGGGCTGCTGGTGGTTCCTGGTGCTCACCGCACCCTGGATGAGCCCAGGACAGGCCCAGGAGAACACGCAGAGCCCATTTCCGGATGCCAACCCCTCCATGAAGCTTTACTGGGTCCGGTTTTCCCTCCAGCATCTCCAGTTGGTGCCACACCAGCACAGGCAGCTCTGGCACCCGGGGACAGGCAGGGACATCTCCAGCTGGGGGTGCTGGTGGTTCCTGTTGGTCACCTCACCCTGGATGAGCCCAGGACAGGCCTTTCCCTGCCCAGGAGAACACACAGAGCCCATTTCTGGATGCCAACCCCTCCATGAGGCTTTACTGGGTCTGGTTTTCCCTCCAGCAGCTCCAGTTGGTGCCACACCAGCACAGGCAGCTCTGGCACCCGGGGACAGGCAGGGACATCTCCAGCTGGGGGTGCTGGTGGTTCCTGGTGCTCACCTCACCCTGGATGAGCCCAGGACAGGCCTTTCCCTGCCCAGGAGAACACACAGAGCCCATTTCTGGATGCCAACCCCTCCA